CTCCCCACCACCCATTTCGGCACACCCCTCACACGTTTCGTGGCCCCATAGGGAGCTCCACCGAAGGCCCCAGTGGCTGCGTTCGCATGCCTCCCCACCACCATTTCGGCACACCCCTCACACGTTTCGTGGCCCCATAGGGAGCTCCACCGAAGGCCCCAGTGGCAGGGTCCGCATGCCTCCCCACCACCCATTTCGGCACACCCCTCACACGTTTCGTGGCCCCATAGGGAGCTCCACCGAAGGGCCCAGTGGCAGGGTTCGCATGCCTCCCCACCACCCATTTCGGCACACCCCTCACACGTTTCGTGGCCCCATAGGGAGCTCCACCGAAGGCCCCAGTGGCAGGGTCCGCATGCCGCCCCCACACCAACTTCGGTGCACCCCTCACACGTTTCGTGGCCCCATAGGGAGCTCCACCGAAGGCCCCAGTGGCCTGGTTCGTATGCCTCCCCAACACCCATTTCGGCACATCCCTCACACGTTTCGTGGCCCCATGGGGATTTCCACTGAAGGCCCCAGTGACTGGGTTCGCATGCGCCCCCACACCCATTTCGGCACACCCCTCACACGTTTCGTGGCACCACAGGGAGCTCCACCGAAGGCCCCAGTGGCTGCGTTCGCATGCCGCCCCCACACCAATTTCGGCACACCCCTCACACGTTTCGTGGCCCCACAGGGAGCTCCAACGAAGGCCCCAGTGGCTGTGTTCGCATGCCGCCCCCACACCAACTTCGGTGCACCCCTCACACGTTTCGTGGCCCCATAAGGAGCTCCACCGAAGGCCCCCGTTGCTGCGTTCGCATGCCACCCCCACACCCATTTCGGCACACCCCTCAAACGGTTCGTGGCCCCATAGGGAGATCCACCGAAGACGGTACTCACACCAGCATTACTCACAACTGCATATGGTTGGGTCCTTCGCCAGGCTTTTTTGTTTGTTTTTTTTTCTCTCTCTCTCTCTCTCTCGTATATACATGTATGCTCACATATATACATTTGCATACGTATCTGTACATACACATGGAACGCTCACCTTGAATGCTTCTGAGCTCTTTTGTTTTCCCCATACGCTAAGATGTGGTTATTGTTATTCCCCATGTCCTAAGAATGGGTTTCTTGTTATTGGCAGACCGCGCCGGAGGAACACAGGAGAACAGGAACACCCTCACCTCCTCTCACTCAGACCCACTCAGACTCACTCATCACGCAGACCCACTCATCACTCAGACTCACTCATCACTCAGACTCACTCATCACTCAGACCTACTCATCACTCAGACTCACTCATCACTCAGACTCACTCGTCACTCGGACTCAGTCATGACTCAGACTCATCACTCATTACTCAGACTCACTCATCACTCAGACTCACTCATCACTCAGACTCACTCATCACTCATACTCACTCGTACTTGTACTCGTACATTCACTACACTCACTCAGGTCCACGCATCGGATGACTCACACACGCTGATGTTGAGGATGTGTCAGGCGATTCGGTTGTCTCAGCACTCCTAAGGGGAGCGGCGGGGGGGGTATTTCACGGGGTCCCGTTTGCGGAATTTTGTGGGGATGTCTCAGGCGGTTTGGCCATTTTCTCCTCCAACATGTGTTGTTTTCGGAGCAGATTTGGAGGATTTCTCAGGCGATTCGCTCGTCTCAGCACTCTAAGAGGGGGCGACGGGGGGGTATTTCACGAGGTCCCGTTCGCGGAATTTTGTGGGGATGTCTTAGGCGGTTTGGCCATTTTCTTTTCCAACATGTGTCGGTTTCGGAGCAGATTTGGAGGATGTCTCAGGCGATTCGCTAGTCTCAGGACTCTCAGGGGGGCGGCGGGGGGGTATTTCACGGGGTCCCGTTCGGGGAGTTTGTGGGGATGTCTCAGCGGTTTGGCCATTTTCTCCTCCAACATGTTTCGTTTTCGGAGCAGATTTGGAGGATGTCTCATGCGATTCGCTGGCTGCAGCACTCTAAGGGGAGCGGCGGGGGGGTATTTCACTCGGCCCCGTTCGCGCGATTTTGTGGGGATGTCTCAGGCGGTTTTGCCATTTTCTAGCGCAACATGTTTCGCTTTCGGAGCAGATTTGGAGGACGTTCGCGCCCAGTATGCGGGGATGTCTCAGGCGGTTTGGCCGTTATGATGCTGGGCATCTGTCGTTTTCGGAGCAGTTTTGGGAGGATGTCTCAAGCGATTTGCTGGTTTCAGCACTCCCAAGCAGGAGGAGGAGGTGGAGGAGGAGGAGGAGGAGGAGGAGGAGGAGGAGGAGGAGGAAGAGAAGGAGGAAGCGAGGAGGAGGAGGAAGAGGAGGAGGAGGAGGAGGAGGAGGAGGAGGAGGAGAAGGAGGACAACATGAACACGGTAGGAGCAGAAGCAGGAAGGGGATGCGGCTGATGATGATGATGATGATGATGAGGAGGAGGAGGAGGAGGAGGAGGAGGAGGAGGAGGAGGACGTGGGCACCTCGAGTAGCCAGGGCCAGACGACCCTCAAACGCTTCCGCCTCACTCTCCTTCGCTCTCCGCTCTCCTTCACTCTTCTGCATTCATACTCACTCATACTCAGACTCAGTCACACGCAGGCTCACTCGCACTTAGACTCGCTCATATCCATACCTAAACTTACTCACACTCAGACTCACGCTCAGAGCCACTCATACTCAGACTCGCTCCTGGTCAGACTCATCATCCTTCGGTCCGCTCAAACGCAGACCGACTCACACTCAGACTGCCTCACATCCATACCCAATCACACTCGGCTCACTCGCACTCAGATTCATTAACACACACTTTTCCTCACACTCAGACCCACTCAAGCCCATACTCACTCATGCTCAGACCCATCATGCTACGATCCGCTCAATCACAGACTGGCTCACACTCAGATTCGTGCATACCTAAACCCACTCGCACACAGACGCATTCGCGCTCATATTTAATCACACGCATACCCACTCGAACCCAGGTTCAATCGCACCCAGATTAACTCACACTCAGAATCAGTCGCTCTCAGAGTTGCTATTGGTCGCACTCATGCTTGCAGACTGTGGGGGTATCTCGAGCGAGCGGTTCGCCCTCGCACACAGGCGCTCATTGACAGATATCAATAGAAACACGTACCAAGAGAATGAGATGCACATGTGGGGAGCCCCGCGTCGAGTAATTACTTGGACGCTTCCTACTCCTTCTTCCTCTTCCTCTTCTTCTCCTCCTCCTCCTCATACCCAGACTTACTCATGCACAGACTTACTCATACACAGACTTACTCATACTCAGACCTACTCATACTCAGACCTACTCATACTCAGACCTACTCATATTCAGACCTACTCATATTCAGACCTACTCATACTCATACCTACTCATACTCAGACTTTCTCATACTCAGGCCTTCTCATTGTCTGACTTACTCCACACAGAAGATTGTGAGGATGTCTCAGGCTGGGCGCTGGTTTCCGCACCCCTAAGGGGAGCCGCCGAGGGGTATGACACGGTCCCGTTCGCGGCCGTTTTGTGGGGATGTCTCAAACGGTTTGCCTGTTTTCTGTCCCAACATCCTTCGCTTTCGGAACAGATTTGGGGGATGTTTCGAGCGAGGCGCTCATTTTCACGCCCCTAAGGGGAGCCGCCGAGGGGTATGACACGGTCCCGTTCGCGGCCGTTTTGTGGGGATGCTTCAAACGACTTGCTTATTTTTTGTCCCAACATCCTTCGCTCTCGGAACAGATGTGGAGGATGTCTCGAGCGAGGCGCTCATTTTCACGCCCCTAAGGGGGGCCGCCGAGGGGTATGACACGGTCCCGTTCGCGGCCGTTTTGTGGGGATGCCTCAAGCGGTTTGCTTGTTTTCTGTCCCAGCATCCTTCGCTTCCGGAGTAGATTTGGGGGATGTCTCGAGTGAGGCGCTCATTTTCACGCCCCTAAGGGGGGCCGCCGAGGGGTATGACACGGTCGCGTTCGCGCCCGTTTTGTGGGGATGCCTCAAGCGGTTTGCTTGTTTTCTGTCCCAACATCCTTCGCTTTCGGAGCAGATTTGGAGGATGCCTTGTGCGAGGCGCTCATTTTCACCCCCCAGGTGGGCCAGATTTTGAGGATGTCTTGTTCGGTTTGCCAATTTTAGTGGCCAGACTCGTGGGCACAGGTTTTCCTCAGGATGCCACAGGATGCTCCAACAGGCTCCAGGAGGCCCCTGGGGACCACATGAGGTCCCAGGGGGCATCAGGAGGCCACAGAAAGACTCAAGAGGCCACAAGATGTCCCAAGAGGCTCCAGGAGGCCCCAGGAAGCTCCAGGAGGCCTCGGGGAGCCACAGGAGGCCCCAGGGGGCCACAGGAAGCGCCAGGAGACCTCGGAAGGCAACAGGAGGCCCCGAGAGGCCCCAGGAGCAGGAGGCTTCAGAAGGCAACAGGAGTGGCTCCAATCCCATGTGTTTTACGTATGCTCCTATCGATTGGGCCTCACCTGGAGCACGAACCCTTGACGTTATACGTATGTTTCTAGATTGTCCTTCTCATGTGAACATAATCCTAATGTGTTTTACTTATGTTCCTATATGTTGGGCCTCTCCTGGGGCACGAGTCCTTGGTGCTTTACGCGTGTTCCTATATAGTGCCCTTCTCTGGTGGCTCCAATTCGCAATATTTTATGTACGTCGGTTGCTATAGATTGGGCCTCTCCTGGGGCAGGAAGCCTCCCTGGGAGGTCCCAGGAGGCCCCAGGAGGCCCCAAGAGGCTCCTGGAGGCCCCAGGAAGCCCCAGTAGGTTTCAGGAGGCCCCAGGAGGCCCCAGGCTCATGCGCAGAGACGCGCTCGTACTACTGAGGCTCATTCACGCTCCAATTCATTAGCAGTTAGATTCATGACCAGACCGCCACAACTGAAACCCGTTTATATTCGAAAGCTCTTGCGCCTAGACATTCACGGCGGACAGGTCCATGCGAATAGATGCACATATGGGGAGCTCCACGTAGTGAATAATGTTTTGTTTTCTCTCTGTATCTCTCTCTATTTCTCTCTCTCTCTCTCTCTCTCTCTCTCTCTCTCTATATATATATATGCTCGCAGAGATAAGCAAACGTATGTATGCGTGCATACACACATCGAGCGCTGACCTTGAGTGTTTCTGAGGTGGTCGTGCTGGCTGTCAGAGGCTTGGGCGACGGCCGAGCCGCCCCCGTCGACGGGCGGCGCAAGGTGCACCTCACCCTCGTGCACGCCAGCGACCCCGAGGGCGGGGCCTTCGGCGCCAAGGTGTCGCCCTGGACGGCGGCGGTGGGCGGCGCCGTGCGCTTCGGCACGGCGGGGCTCCGCTGCACCTTCCCGATGGGCGCGGGCGCGCCGGCCCTGGCCTCGGACGTCCGCTTCTTGGAGGGCGCGCAGCTCCGGGTGCGGCTGCTGGCCTCGAAGGTGCCCACCGGCAGCGCTCTCATGGGCACTCGCAGAAGAACAAACGCCATAAACAGAAACGTTTGGCGCTCCGCGCGGATCTCTTGGATCCGCGCTGGAGCCCCGCCACCGGCGCCTCCTGCGCCGCCAGATCCAGGAAGCCCGCGCGGAGCGCCAAAAGTTGTTGCTCCTGCCGTTTTTTCTTCCTCTAGGCACGGCCGCCAAGTGGATGCCCTCCCTGACGCAGGAGGTCACGGCAGAGCTGGACGAGGCCACCTCGCACCCCGAGGCCGAGGCCTTCATCCCGCTGGCCAACATCCTCTCTGGGCGGGGCTTCGCGGCAGACCGGGCCCTCGGCGGCTGGGTGCCCCTGGAGCGAGCGCGGCGGCACGCGGCGGCCGCGGCCGACGCCACGGGCCTGGAGGAGCCGCTGTCCGTCTGGATGCAGATGTACGCGCTGCCAGACCACGAGGCCTGGCTGCCCGACCTGCAGGCCCAGCTGCAGGCGCAGGCATCGGGGCCCTCGGCCGCCGCGGAGCCCCGGCCGCACCGCCCCGGGGCGCCCTGCGCGCCCCCCGAGGCCTCCGCCGCTCCGCCCTGCGCCGCGCCGGCGCCCGCGCGGGCGTCGCCGCCGCCCCGATGGGGCCCCTCGCCGGCTCAGCTGGCCGCCCGCGCGGCCCGCGACGCCCCCGACCTCATCGACGTCACCTCCGCGGAGGGCGGGCCGGCCGCGCCCGCGGCCTGCGCCCTGGACCTGCTCGGCGAGGCGGGCGCCGCCGGGCTGGTGGGCCGGCCGCCGCCGGGCCGCGGGGAAACCCCGAGCGCCCTGGACTGCTCGGCGAGGCGGGCTGCCGCCGGGCCGGCGGGCGGCCGCCGCCGGCCGCGGCAGGGGCCTCGAGGCCCTGGACCTGCTCGGCGGGGCGGGCGCGGGCGGCCCCGAGCTGCCCGCGGCCGCCGCCCCGCCGGCGGCCTGCAGCAGCAGCGCCTTCGCCTTCGTCGACGCCGCAGGCGCGGCGGCGCCCGCGCCCGCGGCGTTCCCGTTCGTGCACGCCGCAGGGCAGGCGCCGGCCCCGGCGGCGCCGCCGCAGCCGCCGGCCCCCGCCGCCGGCCAGCTCGACCTCGCGGCGCTCTACAGGGGCGCCGCCGCGTCGCCAACGGGGCCGGGGCGCCCCGGGCAGGTTTCGTGGGCTGCCTGCGACGCCCTGGCGAGCCTCGCCATCCGGCGGCTCAAAGATGGGGTCCTGAGGGATGGGGCCCTCAGGACCCAGACCCCCGGCGTCATGGTTATTTGTTCATGACGCGGACCCCCAGAGGTCCGGACCTTTTCGCTGGGACCCTTTTTTCATCCTGATCGTTTTTTGACGGTCCCGAGGGCCGGTAAGGGCCCCCAGAGGCCGAAAATAGCGCACAACTTCCCGTCGTAATTTTTCCACGACGCGAGGGGGTCTGCAGCCTTAGGAGGAGGAGGAGGAGGAGGAGGAGGAGGAGGAGGAGGAGGAGGAGGAGGAGGAGGAGCAGGAGGAGGAGCAGGAGGAGGAGGGAGGAGGGGGAGGAGGAGACCCCATCTGTGAGCCACCGCGCCATGGGCGGCGACGGTGGCCTGGGCGGGCGGCCGCGCGGGCCAGCGGCGCCCGAGGCGCGCGCCGACTGCGGGACGCTGGAGGGCCTGGAGAGCGCCCTGGTCGGCGGGCTGACGCAGAGCCTGCGGTTCTGACGGCCCGCGCCCGGGCCCCTCCCCCAGAGGTCCAGCGCATTGAGATCGTCGAAAATCCCCATGTAGGGGGACACGCCCGATTTAAAGGTAGCCGCGGAGCTCGCCGGCAGCACGGGGGCCCTGCGCCTGCCGGGGGGCGGCGTCCAAGAAGAGCGAGGCGCCGCGATCGCGATCCTGCCGCGCCGAGCCAAATATTTCGCCCAGGCCAGGCGCGCCAGGCCCAGCGCGACGATGACTTCCCCTCACTGCCCAGACCCCCTCGAGTCAGGAAAAAATCACGACGGAAGGTTTTTCCATATTTTCCGCCTCCGGGGGCCCTTGCCGGCCCTCGGGACCGGCAAAAAACAGCTCAGGATGAAAAACCGGTCCCGGCGAAAAGGTCCGGGGGTCGCGTCATAAAAAAATCTCATGATGTCGGGGGTCTGGGCCCAGAGATCCAGCGTGTTGAAAAAATCCGGACGGAGATTTTGCGTTCTGTCGGGCGTGTCCCCCTACAGGGGGATGGTCGACGAAAAATAGGAGATACCCCAAGGATGCCCCAAAGAGGCCCCAAATTTACAAAAAAAAGTCACCAGACTATTTTTGGACTATGTTTGGACTGTGTTTGATTTTTCGTCGAAAAAAAAACCCTGCAGGGGGACAGGCCCGACTTAAATTTTGCGCCGTTGGCGGCCTCCCGAGGCCCTCGCCGGACCTCGGGAGCGTCAATACATCGCCTCGGGACGTCGAGCCGGTCCTGGGGAGTGGGTCGAGACTTCTGGGGACCCCGAACTACTGCGGGGGTGGACAGACCTCCTACCTCATGACACGTCGATTAAGGAATTGGCCGTTTTCGATTCGCGAGAGGGCGTCGCGGCCGTCATTTTTGCTGGTCCAGGTCCGTCGGCTTCGGTCCCAGGCTGTTTTCACTAAGGGGAGGTCTACTAAAGGGAGGTTTGTCCACCGCCGAGTACTGAAACAAATCACGACATCGGATCTCTGAAAGAGCGTGTTCTACCCGCTGCTGGCGGAAAACCGGGGGGGGTCACTACCGGTTCGAACCCCTCCCCCCCCCCCCCTCCGGAAA